CACTGAAGATCTAAATCTAGATCTTTCCCTTTCAGATATAATTTTAAATGTAAGTTGTTGACATGTTATGCAAATAGGTGAAGTCAAGCAGCCAAGTCTGAAACTTTATGCTTGAGCATAGCAATGAAACATAATATTTACTTTTCATACATTTTCTCTATTACCCTGTTGTGTTATTTCATAAATAAAGCTTTTACCAATATGGATGAGGACTATTTCTGTAGAGGTAATCTTTTATTAAGAGATTATTACCCCAGTTAATATAATTTATGACATTAGGTGGAAAAATACTTAGATTGCGTAAATTCAATTAAAAACTATGTAAGTTAGATTAGCATTGTGTTCCTCAACAGGACGGTGAGCAATAGCAAAATGTCCCTTACTAAGAAACAAGACCTCTGACTCTAAGGACTGGAGTGGCATTTTACTTCCAGAAGTATTCCCTTTCCACATCTTATTTTTGTCACTTAAAATTCAAATATCCTGAAATCATAAACTAAACTTTTTCATTGGTGCATCTTTTATGCATCTAATGCTTTTGAAACCAAATGAAATTTTAGCAACCTACTATTTATATTTTTGGGTGGAAACAGTGTTTTAAATATTGATGTCAATAGATTCATAGTGGACTTTCTACATGAGAAAATCCTTAACATTTTTTTCATTTACATGATAGATTATAAGCACATGGTCTGTGATTGAAAAGTTCATTGCAGTTACTTCAATAATATTTTCCAAAAGTACAGTTAGAGGGTTACCAGTAAAGTTTCTAAAATGACTGTTCAAAAGTTAGGAAAGTAACCCATGCAAGTCAGCTCAGTCCATTCTATTATGCTGACTGATCTCAAAGTTTTCTGATTATGCACCATTTTTCCACCAAACCCATTCAATATACTCTGGCCAATATTTGACATACAAGTATATTCTTAATATTGAGAATCAATATGAGAATTATAATGAGACCATTTTCATGAGCCTTAATCATGAGACCATTTTCTTCATGCTTTACCAACTACTTGTGTTTTAAGTGCTGCAACAAGTGATATAAAGCAATTTTTACACAGCAATTGCTATAAAGCAATTTTTGATTAATTTAATAATAATTATGGACTGTGCTCATTCAACACAGACAACACGAGCTATGGAAGAGGTTCTATGAAAAAGACTACTCAGCCACACAATCAAAACTTGTACTATAACTACATGGCACAGCTAAACAAGACAGAAGAGTGAGTTTTACCCTCTGCTTGGATCAAACATCACAGGTTTGATGAGATTAACAATTTGGTTTAAAGGAACACCCAGATCAAAAACATCCCAGTCTCACAAAAAGTTTGAGTGAAATTGCTTTAGACAGAATAAGAGGTGACACAGAATCACAGCTAACATGCTCTATATTTTCAGCTGTCAGATCCCCTGTTATTCACTCCTTCCCCAGTTACTTTTCTTAATCTTCCTTTTCCTCCCTCTTCTTGGCTCCTGTTTTCCAAACTACCAGTAAAAAGTCAGAGAAAATCATCAGGATTATACCTGAAGCCCCCCTAAGCAACAGGAACAGACCTATAACCTGTAGAGCATCAAAATTCAAGACACCCTTTCTACAGCTAAAAATATATACGTAATAAAATTTCTCTATAATTCAAGTCTATGAAACTATGAGGACATGAGGAAAAACAGACCTTGTTTCCTTTCTTAACATTGGCAAAATGAAGGAGACACATACTGGGGGAAAACACCCTACCTAACAAAACTTGCAGTCTAAAGAGCTAAATTTTGGTAATGTTGTAACAGGGACTTCTAATGAAAGTCAGACCACTTTAATAGGTATTAATGGCAGCCCCACCATACAATATAGCCTATAAAGGAGTTTCTTTGAAGATTTAGTAGGCATTCTTATTGAGTGAGCTTGCACACATTTACGGCAGCTGAGAATTTGATATATATTTGCATTAACAGCACAAAATAAATCACAGTTTGTGCCATAGCACCAAATAAGAGGTGGTAAGAATAAAATCAGCTGCATTCACAAATAAATAATGCTTTATTCTTCCTCTTTCTTTAAAGTTCTGGAATGGATTTTAGTGGAGCCTAGTATTGAATAATACTAGGTGTAATGATTTTTTAAAAAAGTTTTAGAGATTTATATTGTATTACTTGATTATGATCATGCTGAGAAAAAATTTACAACCAATAGTTGGGTAGGGTGAAATGAACTCATTCATTAACAAAAAAACCCCAATCAACCCAGAGCAATAAGATTAATTTTACCACTTAAAAAGTGCTCACTATTCAGAAAAAAATTATATCATTCATATCCATACACATACACAACAAACATATGCATAGTCTCTGGCTTACACAATGAAAGCTCTGTGTGCAGGACAGCAGTGTACTTCAAAATCATTAATCTTTCACCCACTAAAATATCCCAAAACTATCAAATCTTTCTACAGATTAGCTAGAATTCTCCCTCCTGCCACGTGCAAAAATACATTTTTATTTCAGCTTGCAATAAAACCAGTTTTATTAAAATCATGTGTTTATACAGAGTACCAAATACCTTATACATTTGAAAGTTATCTGTACATTTTTTCATTACTACTATTTCCAGTGTAGCCAGTGCTTCACATCCAATCCATCTAAGCAATACATTCACTAACCAGACCCTGCCCATCAACACAAGGAATAAAAACAATTGCCAGACAAGAGCTTTTTGGGAAAGCAGCAGAGTGAGAGTCCTGGTTCTGTTCTCTACAGTGTTTCTTCATAGTTCAACAGGTGACAAAACACATCTGCTTTGCATAACATGTCACTGTAAAAATCACTCCAGAAGCACCATTTGTAAGATCTTTATAACAACTGTTACTATCACAAAAGCCATGTAAAGTCAGTAACCATTTAAACAGCACTTGGTGCTCCCTGTAAAAAACATGTGGAATTACAGCTGTGCTTTCCCCAAATAACTATTTCTTCTCCTAAGCATGGATTGACTTCATTATCTAAGTGTTTGCTGCACTGTAGATTAAAAGAATTCCAAAATGATGTCCTGTATTCCAAGTTGCTGAGGGGAGTGTACGTGGAATATATTTGTGAAGTTGTTCTATTTCAATTGTCTTATGGCAGTACTCTGAAAAGCCCTAACTGTATTCTCACATATGACTTTGACATCTGCAATAAATGATAGCTCTAACCATAGTTCTAATGAAAGCCTGTTTATCTGTTTAGTGAATCTTTTCTCCCCAGATACTACAATTCAACAAGCCAGACTTCTCTATTAGGCAATTTCTGTCTATTTTTGAGAGCAGTACATTTGTTTGATTACTAGAGGAAAAGAAACAGAATTATCGTCTGTGAATTAAGGTGGCTCACAGGAGTGTTTGTCCTAGCTGACAGCAACTACTTTGATTGCCTTAAACTTCTGTGTGGAAATTTCTGTCAGGAAATCTTGTTCTTTTCAAAGAAGTTAAGAACAATCAGTCATTTTAATTTAATTTTTTTAAATTACTGACAACATACCTAGGTTTATGACATTGCAAGAAAAATAAATATTTAGTATTAAAATCCACATCTAATATTAATAATCACTGTTTTTAAGCTCTTTTTATGTTACAGAAGTAAACAGACATGATTTCCACTCTGTTGGGAGATTTTCATCACCAAATCTTATGCAACTTTCAGGGACACACAGCATCACTTTTGCATTCCTTTTTTTACTTAAACAACTATGATAGTAATTAAGCTAAGAATAACCATTAAAGATGGCTTTTTCTAGAAGGAGGAAAGAGGAGCAAAGGTCTTGCACTTTGGAGATTTACTGCAGGGAAGCAACATAACAATGGAGCCTTACATTTTCTCCCATCCCAGTTAGTACAGCCTAGTACAGCACAGTTTTATGTGCGTTTTCACTATCCTTTCCATCCATCCATTGGTTTTATCCAACACCTTAGGATAATCATCCTAACTACATTACCAGTCCTGTTGCCTACCACAGGCTGTCAGCGCAGTAAAGCACCTGGCCAAAATGTGTCTATGGGGACAAGATGTCCAGAACCAAGAGGTGGAGAATTAATAGATTATATTCAGATATAAGGTCTAGTTGTATCCCATGTGGAATGAAATCCTGTACAGCACTAACCTGCATGTCAAAAGTTGATGGAAAAATCTGCCTAGTTTTGAATTGAGTACAGGAGCATGAAACCAAGATAAAACAAGAACTTTAACTGCTTTTCAGGAGCCCACATAAGACCATCCCCCTCTCTGACTTAAAAGTTTTATTGAAAATTACTTAGCATACCACTGCAATTTGATTTTTACACAGATACCAAGAAGATTACAGCCAAATAGTCATGTAAACATTCAGATTTAATTCTTTTATGCTGGGATTTAAACTTCTACATTTTAAAGTATTCTTCCCATTTTTATTATATTGAACACCATTCTGTCTCAAGAAAGTGGTTTGATTAATGTTGGACTTTTCCCAGCTGTGCTTGTCATTTATTGTCTATATAAACTTCATATTCTTTATATACATAAACACAACACAAACCTAAAACTATTCTGATTGGTATAACACTAGGAATTAGACTCTGAAGCATAATTTTTCTCTGAAGTCATGGTACTTCATATGCAACTCATTATTTAATGTATAAAATTAATCAGAATAATAGATATATACTACTCCTTTCACATCTGCAGTCAATTTCAAAGCATCATATATGCACCTAATTATTTTAGTATTATTTTTCTTATAGTGGATAAAGCAAAGATATTTTTAAGAAAATACATACTTGAAAAGTAATTTATGTAAAGAAAACTTCAGCCGTTAACATGTACAACTTTGAAATACATCCTACATTCCCTCCTCCTCTTATTTTTGTATAGTGTGTATTTATATATGATAACAATTCCACACCAGACACAATTCATCTCAGCTGCATGCAAAAATCTGTCTTTATGTAAAAAACAGCCTACAAAAGATCTGAAATTGAATGAGTACTCACTTGTTTAGTCTTTCTTTTTGTAATGGTGTCCGAAATGGGTTTCTTCCTCTCTTTAACAGCTGTTTTAGAAAACAGTTCTTCAAACTCATGATAATCTATGGAAGGCTCTTCAATTTTTTCCCACACAAGTGAAGCACTAGAATCTCTAAAGTTAAGCAAAAGACCTATGTAGGGCAATGTCAAACTAAATAAGGTCATAAATGGAGGAATTAAAAAAATAAAATAGCAGCAATTTAAACGTTGTTTTCTAAATTCTACTAGCAGCATTTTGATAAAAGCTACTGTTGATTCTTCCTCATACTTCTGTGTTTTCTTCTTTTTTCATGTGTGATATGGTCAGGCTTATTTATATTCACCCACTCTACATACCTAGGAATAAAAATAGACTGTATATAGACTATAAAATGTACAGACATGGACAGGAAGGGAAGTAGAAATAGACAGTTATTTACTGACCACCCGTGTGACAGTGGCAAGAACTTGCAAAGAAAGAATAAACTCATAATTAAATAACAGCAGATGGGTTTTATAATTACTACTCAGAGATATAAGAAAAAAATTTGTAAGGAAACTTTTTTAGTGACCAGCAATGATGTTTTACAAAAGCCCCAAAAAACATCAACAACCAAATCATACCCAAGTAAGGGCTATCAGAATCACTTTATGCAAATAAATTGCAGATTGAATCTGAGTCTGCTGAGTGTACAAGGTGAAAAAAAGGTATTTCAAGGTCACTGAAAAAAGGAAAGAGGACAGAATGTGTTCAGCACAGATTAATCTAGAAGGAAGACACTACCAAAACTTGCAAGCTGCTCCAGAGAGAGACCAATGCTACTTCAAAATTTGAGGGGAATCAAAAATACAACATTTTGAAGAACATTTCACAGAACACTTGGTAGCACACCATCACCCCCGGATCTCTTATCCACATGTGATATGTAGCCCCAAAGGACACTGAAATCGCTACAGATCTTCCATGTGCAAATGACTTTGGCACACTTTAAAGAAAATGGGCACCCTATTTGCATATCCAACTACGCATAAAATCCTATTTGCACCCATGACCTACCTAGTAGGAAAGACTTTTGCTAATGATAGTCAATACTATCAAGACAGCCATAAAGCAAAACCACCACTCTACATAACTCTATGACTTACGTTTTACTGTGGAGCTGAATTCTTGTCCAGTAAAGAGGCTTCATTGGCCGAGTAGGCTCTATTACGTGTTTCCTGCTCCCTTTTTCCTGATTCATCCCCATTGCAAATAAACCAGATGGTAATGGAGGAGGAAGAAAACCACAGCCCTGTGGGACTGCTGGGTAGCTGCTGCCCTGGACTGGTGCTGGAAGGGGTGGTGGGGCTGGAGGAGGCATCCCCAACCCAGGCAAAGGAGGGGGTGGTGGAGGGACACCAGCACCAGGCAGAGGTGGTGGAGGGGGCACAGCTAGACCAGGCAGAGGTGGTGGAGGAGGTGGAGGAGGCACAGCCACACCAGGCAGAGGTGGTGGAGGAGGTGGAGGCGGCACAGCTACACCAGGCAGAGGTGGTGGAGGAGGTGGAGGGGGCACAGCTACACCAGGCAGAGGTGGTGGAGGGGGTGGAGGGGGCACAGCTACACCAGGCAGAGGTGGTGGAGGAGGTGGAGGGGGCACAGCTACACCAGGCAGAGGTGGTGGAGGAGGTGGAGGGGGCACAGCAGCACCAGGCAGAGGTGGCGGTGGAGGAGGTGGAGGGGGCACAGCAGCACCAGGCAGAGGTGGCGGTGGAGGAGGAGGTGGTGGAATGCCCCCTCCAGGCAGAGGTGGAGGAGGTGGTGGCAGTCCTGCTCCAGGAAGCAGTGGTGGTGGGGGTGCAAATCCCAGGCTGGGCAGAGGAGGAGGTGGAGGAGGGACAGCAGCTCCAGGTAAAGGTGGTGGTGGTGGAGGGGGAGGTGGGATACCCCAACCAGGCAGAGCAGCTGGTACTCCTGCTCCAGGCAAAGGTTGTGGAGGGAATCCAGGACATGGAAGGAGAGGAGCTGGAGGCAGAGTTGTTATCTCCCCACTTGGAAAATGTGGAGGAGGAGGGAGAGGTGACATCATGGCACCTGGTAAAGAATGGTCCAGGTGTGTCAGTGCTGAGACAGCAGAAGCAGAGAGTCCTGAGCCAGGCAGAGGTGGTGGCAGTGGTAATCCGGCCACAGACATGGGAGTAACAAAGGAATGGCCATGTGTTCCAGGCAGGGGGGCAGCCTGTTCAGTCAGTGGCAGCGATGGGGGAATGCTACATGTGGGCTCTGGGGGCAAGGAAGGAGGATGTTCACTACAAGTTACATCTACAGTGCTTAGAGGCTGATGGGAAACTTTCGTTTCAGTCTCTCCTTCAAATGCAAGGGACAAATCAACTTTGGGTCCTGGAAGAGGTGACTGTGGTATACTCTGTACTGATTGGCTTGCATCCAGTGGCACTGAGATTAGCTTCGGTGACAGAATTAAGGAGATTTCAGAACAGAATGTGGGCTGTAGTTCTAGAGCTGGCAAATTCTGAGTAGGCCCTTCACTTTTGCCCCCTTCCAAGTGTGGTGGTGGGGGTGGCTGTGGCAGTGCACTGGCTGAAGGCATTTTATGTGTTAAATAATCCTCTGTTGGTGACGTTTGTACAGATCTCGCCTGTGACACAGTCCTGGTTGTGGTCTCCTCTTCATTCCTTTGAAGAGTCACACTGCTGAGTTCCCCAGAGTCTGCATGTGCATGCTCATTTTCCTGCTCCCTCCCAGCAGTCTGTACCTCTGCGGCAGGAAATTGTTTCTCTAGTTCTGCAATTTTTGTCCTCAGATCCTCAATAGTTTGCTCAAGTTGTTGGATGACACTGGCACGCTCCTCAGATTTCACCTCAAAAGCATCCTTTCAAAGAAAACAAATAATAAGCTCAAAAGAGGATAACATTCATCACCATATAAAAACTAAATTTAGATCAAGAATACTAGTATTCCAGAGGTTCAAAAATAAGCTAGTTATGTCAAGGCTTTAAAAAGTGAGAAATCATTTTGGCTAGCTACATTTTAAGTGGAAGAAGACAGTTTAAGAAAATCACTTACTTGTATATAACACTACCTTCGTCAGTACAAGCATATTTTAGACTGTGATTATACTTGTCAAAAGCAGAAATGAGTAGCAACCCCTCCCTCCCTGCAAATACCCTGCCTAAGAAAACAACCAACTGCTGAGCACAAGTACTGCAAGCATTTGCCTACACGTGGATATGAAGACATGGTGGTGGGAGGGCTCAGCATTACTTTAATTCTGTTAATTGAAAAAAAATGTTAAGTGTTTCTTTAAAGGGATGACCATGAGTAGCAGACTCAGCATAGTATTGACTGCTGCATTTCAATATTAACCTTAATGGTACAACACAGATCAGGAATGCAGAACACTACAAACACTATCTTTTGGAAAGCAGATACATCTCAAAACAGAACAACTATGCTTTTCTCCAGACAGCATGACTAGGAAAGAAAAGAAGCAAGGAGAAAAGGAAGGGAGAACTTTCATCCTACTTCAAATGGACAACTCCTCTGCCAAGTGACAGACTGTGATAGGAAAGATTCGTGCTTGGAATGGTTATTCTGTATTTGACATGTTACACATTTCTTATCTCTTTCACTAAAGCATCTGATTCTGCTTGCTGTAGACCAAGTAGAGGAACGATTAACTTTAAAGGCACATTAATTCCTACAATTTTAAAGAAATAACTGTAATAAACTGTACTAAATTTAATGGTTATGTCCTTTCATCCAAACCTGCTAGTAGAAATAATCTTGTCTAAAAATAGCCATTTGTGCTTATTCAGGATTGATGAAAATATAGACTTGATCTTATAACAAAAATATCTTCTAATAAAAAAAATTTTCTACTGCATACATTTAATATTTAGTGCTTTTGTTTTTTCTCTCAATTTAAAATATTAGCTAGCACTTCAAGTATTTATTTGAATTAAGATGGTCATGCAACATGACCATCTTAATTCAAATAAATACTTGAAGGATGGTTGCACAAGTGGCTACAGCAAAACTTAAGTGACTTTTTATTTCCTTTTACCAAATCATATGCATCTCAGATGAGACCATAGGCTTGCTTAATAGGAAATATTTAAAATATTCAAATTATAGGCTTTGTAAAGAAGCCTACAAATAAACATACAATACTTGATATATCAATTGCCTTGATTCATTTCAGGAAAACATTTTCCTCATCTTTTGACACATGAAACTATTAAAAGCAATTTTTTCTTCCTGGAAAAGAAAGTTATAATTCCAGCTGGGGATTATTAGTAAAATATAATGTTCAATAATCCTTAAAAACTGTTTCTGCAGAGAATCTGTTTTCAGACTTAAAATTTCAATTTCTTATTTTAGAATTTCTCAGTTGTCCTAAAGCAATCCCAGAAGTAAAGCAGCAACAACATTTAAACCAATTATTGTTTGATTTTGAAGTACCGTTACCAAAAAGCTTACAATCTCTTAGATTGTTTGAACTTTCTGGAACAGCAGTTTGAACAAAAGGTTGTGTATTACAACTAGGTCTCCCCACCACAGGTTGACAAAAAATGTAAAACAGAGAAAGGAACATGAAGGAATGAATAGTGAAGGAATTAACACAGACATAATAACAAACAGTATAATAAGAAGGAAAAAAGGCTGATAAAGGCATTCCCATTGCAATTACTTATGGTGCTTCAGTCCATCCAGTTTCCTTTAATAAGTCAATACTTCATAGGAGCAATAGTTTTTTCAAAGAATTTCTTAATAAAGGAGAAATACAATATTGTTTATCCCTTTGTTTCATCTACTCTTATCCCCCTACCAGTCACCTGCAGATACAATAAGCCTATGAGTTCTTCAAAAGGCAACACTATCAAAGGAAATGTGTTTCTAGGCCACACACCAGTTTTCAGCTGAGATCAAATCCAGTTTCCCCAGACTGTAATTCTCCTAAGCTCCCATTTTATACTGTAAGAACACTCCACAAGGATTTTATAAGAGACACAGTAAATTCATTTCGGCCATAAACAAACTGCAGCCAACAGGATTAGGCACAATATTCAATGGCTCTGAAGAGATTTGTCTTAAAAATGGCTGATCTCAGAACAGTTCACTGTTTTAAACACTCTTTTACTCAGGAGATTAGATTCAACTTTTACCAAGAAAAAGTAATTCTTGAATACTGTAATTCTACGTTAGCTGCAGGAAAAACCCAGAATCCACTCTTCTACAAGACAATTTACCCTGCAGATAATAAAATTTCTTTCAAGAGAAGAACTATTTTATAAAGTTGTTTTTTTTTTTTAAATAAGCAATGCAATGAGATGAATTAGTAATTCAGACAAGAAATGAAAATGCCCTGATGAACTAAAGGGGCTGTTTAGCCATGCCCTAAGAAGCAGCATTTCTGCTATCCTTGAGATACAGCATTTCAAACAAGCTGTCGATTTCCTATCATGTTATACCTAACAATCACCAACATATCCAGGTTTTCATAGAAACAGCATTAATATGAACAAACAAGACTGATGTGAATGAAGAGATATTTATCCAGAGGATATGATGTACTTAAATTTATTTGGTCTAAAAAAAAAAGGAAACCAAAGGCAAAACAAACACAACCTCAGTATTTATGTGTTTCAGTAATTATTGCCCTTAGAGCAGTTTAATTAGATTTTTGCTTTTGTCCTAGTTTAAAGTTGACCGCTAGATTTCAAAGGGCTTATCAAACAAGAAGGAAATCAAGACTATATAAATCCAATCAGAAATGAAAATTCTACTATTTCCTTAGAGAATAAGCAAGAGAATACTTAATTTTTCATACATGTAAAAGATGGTCAAAAGCTGTTGACAAGGATCAGAAGACTGAGATTAAAAAACCCACAGACACATAATGAAAAGAAGCTTCATTTTCAATCCAGGGGACAATTCCACAGCAGAAACCTACGGGGTTTAAAAGAGATATGAGGAAACTCTGTCTTGCTTAGAGTTCTTACCCAGGACCCAGGTACTGTGGAACAGTCTTCTTTCTGTAAAGAAAGAAAGAAAGGTGGAAGCTTAACCCTTGCTTTATCCAGTTGGCTTGAGTATGAAAGAGTGAGCAGGAAAAAACAGTTCAGAGGTGTGTGGCTATAGAGCAGTGCCCAGCATGTCTCAAACAGGCTGTACATGTTCCATGTGCAATGAGTTGGATGCTCAGTCTGGGACAGATCTCTTTGGGCTGCACCGACAGGATTGTGTGTACATGGATCTGGAAATGTTTGCTTTGCTGGCTAAAGGTTGTACGCTTAGATCTGCACATGTACATTGCATAGAATTCATTCCAATCTTGTCATGTTTTCCACATGTGCATTTCAGATGTACAGCATAAAGCTGATCTATATAGATAGAACATATCCAAGATCTTCAAACATGTAAAAGAACAGAGTGCAGCTACCTCCTTCTATGGAGTTGACAAGCTAGTTTGTCAGGTGAGTGACTGAAACCTATAGACCCTTCTATAACTAAATCTCCAGGCAGGAAAAAAACCCACATCTTTAAAAGTTAGCCATAGGCTATGCATATATAGACATGCATATATGCGTGTCTCTTTAATATACTTGTCTATATCTTTCTAACTCAGCTTTCACTCACTTATATGCTTTATGAACAGTCATAAAGTATCTTTTTAAAATAAACATAATGACAGTTCTTGTCGGTTATTTTGGCATATTTGAAAAATAGAGGCATATTATAGCTTAGTTTTAGAAGCTAATACCTTATACTAGTACAAGTCAAAAAGTTGCATCAGCAGTTTGATAATTTTCAGCAATTTGTCACTTAGAGTCATGAAATTTCCTCTCTGGATGGAATTTATATTTAGATGATAAGATTATATTTGCTTTGATTTCTCTTTTTTTTTTTTTTTTTTTTTTTTTTTTTGCAAAAAACCTTGACTTTTTAGTTTCTCTACATCACAATTCACTAATCGGTGTCTATGCTGCTACCTAGTTCCAAGAACACACAGGAAATAGAGGCATACAGTTAAACAGAATTAAGACGGCAAAATAAGGCCCATCAGGTCTTCTAGTAAGTGTGCCTGGGAGCACTTGGTGGCACCAGTAATGCTGCACAGGAACTTGGAAGGATGCTCTTTCCAACTGCTCTGTTAATAAATGCTGCTTTTCTACGCGAAGTGAAACATTTTTGAACGCGCACGCTCACCGAATGGCACAAAGCAGAGCCACAGTAAGAATTTAATTCAGTCAGAGAAATGTGATCTCTAATCAGGTTTCTCTCTTTAAAGCTGTCTCATTTTCAAAGCTACTTCTTGCAACTGCAGATCAACCTTAAGAAAAGGAGACACAACATTTAACAGGCATTTTTAGTGCTACAGTCATTGATTGGTACATGAGAAGTACTGGTGGAGACTTGATTTGCATTCAAACAAAATAGCACCCATCTAATTAATTCTAACATTTCACTTAATCTCAAGGCCCATTGCAGCATTTTATTTTTACAGCAGTAGAAACTGAGTCAAAAGTTGGCAAACTTGCCAATAGCATAAGGGAGAATTACTGAAGGAGTAGAATTAGTATGGGATACTAGTTTCTTCCTCAGACTATCTGATTAAACCTTTTTGAAGCTTTTACTATTCTGAGGTTGCACAAGGGGTACACTTTTTCACAGTAGTCCATCTTTCTTCCTACAACTGCAAGGAAGTGATGCAGAGGTCCCCAGTATAGCAATGAATAAGCAAGCCCTGAAACAAAACCAGGGTTGTGCATTGCCCTGTCTGAAGTCATAAAACTTATTTGGCAAGTGTGAGCTACTCTCCCACCCTGTGACATATTGCAACAGATGGATTACACCAGCCTGCACAAGGCTGGCAATGGATTAGCTAGCTCTTCCTGTCCTCAAGAGCTGGGACATATCTAATCAATCTAGTGGTTTGTCACACCTATTGTGGGTGACAAAAAAACCCCAAACCATTGCATACAGAGATCAATAATTATTGAAATTTAAATAGTTCAAATAAACTAACACAGAATCAACAGGGAACATACACCTTTGAAGAAAGATGCATGCATTGCAAATGCTGACTTGGAAAGCTAGAATTTAGAGGAAAAATGAGCTTAGTTTCTTGAAGTTTCTGCTCCTGAGCAGTTTGAATTCCTTATCCCTGAGATAACCATATTTCAGAGGATAAGATCTCAGTTCTTTACATTACCCATTTAAATAAATAATCAATTTCAGATACATCAAAGATTGGAAGAGTTTTCTCTCTTTAAGGTGTAACTCTTAACTTAGTTGGAAAATAACCTTAGGTTATCCCCAGGTTTTACTATAATCGAAACCTCAAAAGAATTTTCATAGACTACAGACAAGACAAGGTAAAATAAAATCTCACAGAACCACCGACCACCCAAGGAGATGCATAGGAGTCAAGTTTAATTTCTGTAGTATTACACAGTATTACTTTAAACCTTCACAAATAACACTTGTGGAAGCTTAGCCCTCACTATATCCTGGTAGCTTGAGTATGAAAGAGTGAGCAGGAAAAAAATACAGTGAGAGGTGTATGGCTATAGAAGAGTTTCCAGCATTTCTCAAACAGGCTGTGCATGTCCACATGCAAGGAGCAATGTTCTGACTATCCAGGCTGAAAAACCACCCAAAAAGTCCCTCTCAAATTTTGAATGTTTCCATCTTGGCCTAGATGAAATTTCATTATTAGCGAGGCAGGAAACAATACAGAAATAAATAAGACTTAAAAAGGGGTTTACTATCCACATAGCTCAATTTAGCTCAGAAATTCATTTAACTATCACTCTATCACTCATCCAACATAGAACAAGCATGTAAATGAGACTGGGTTCTGAAAGAAAAGCTGAACTTTATTAATTTTAATATAACATTATGTTACCTGTTTTTGGTGTCTTTTAATTGTTGTGCTGTGGATTGCAAAGAGACTGCTAGTTCAGATGAAAATATAACTAGAATCTAGCCACTTAAGTCAACAGTCTATAAGCAAGAGGTACCTTAAAAGTCACAGATTTCCTTAAAAGTTGGGATAGAAACTGTCTGGATTTATTTTCTCCTCTATATTAGATTGCTTACTGAAATGCCTAACACATGATTAATCGCTTCCTTTCTTCTGTCACCTGTGTTTTTTCTAAAGTATTTCAACTATGGTACTAAAGTGTTTGGTTAGTTTTCCTGTGTGTCCAGGCCAAGGCAACAATTCATCTCATTATGTTAAAACAAAATCTGGCATACCTTGAACATTACTGCATTGACATATTAGAGAAAGGTATTGAACACTTTCACCCCAGACCTCTCCCTTATTTTCAATTCCACTTGAATTGTCCAGCAACCTGGAAAGCAGTCACTGTGCAAACTAATTATATTATTTTCATGCTCTTTATATGTAACAATTGTAAGGTTTTATGCTAGAAATAACAATATAGATACTTTGAGTCAAAATGTGAACATTATTGGTTTAAATTTGAAGGGCTTGGAATGCCTTTAAGCTCTAGTAGGGGAGATCAAGAAAGGTAATGATTTTTCAGATGAGCTTTGCCACATCCTGATAAGCAACTGTCCAGACTATGATACTTCTACACAGTACTTGCCCTTTTCATCTAGAGTTCAGCCAGACCACAAAATGGGACGTTCACATGTTGCTTTTGTCTTGGGCTTCCAACAGGGAGTAAGCAGCAAAAAATATCCACAGTAAGAATAAATCTTTGTAGATACACTGAAGCATGAGCCTACTACTCACAACAAAAAGGTTTAGAGAAATGGAAAGAGAGCCTCCACACGTGTATCCGTGAACATACTGAAGGCAGGGGCCTGAAAGTCACTCATCTTCTTTAACTCTTTAAAAGCGTGAAAGCTATATTAGAAACAAAGCTGTATCACTTTGAGTAAAAGAACCTTTAAAAAAGTCAATCAAAATAAAGTAATCAAAAATGAGCTTGAACTATTGAGAAGTTAATTAAAATATTTCTGGTATCATGAACATTAAAAAAACCCAATTTATATATTTAGAAAAAGTTGAATAATCATAATGAGCAATTACACATTTAGGAATATGCAAGTTAGTTTTTATGAATAGTTTTGGGCTTGCTCTCTAAAGAATAAATACAAAGAAAAACAGGTACTCAAAATACAGAAAAGGAAATAAAAAGTGTTTTTACTGCTTTTACTTCTAGTAACTTAAGATGGAAAATGTAATAACTTTTGATCTAAATGTAAGTAGAAGATAAACTGATTACTCTGTCTTGTATCCAGAGTAGAAATTATTCTCAGCCTTACTTTTAAGTTCTCATTTAGGTTTGGCAGTATATAATTGTTTGCTTGGTTTTCTTTCCTTTTTTTTTTTTTTTTTAATTATTTAGAGCATTTTTAAGCTAAATGAATACTTATTTTTACTAAGAAAAGCATTTCTTATCTCCCTTCTACATAGAGAGTCCTGTATAAAATCTCAGGATTTACACCACTAAAAGGTAGCACTTGATATTTAATGCCAAGAGAAATATAAGAAGAACTTGAAACAGTTTTCACTTTTATGTGGAGGAGATCTCTCAAATAGTTTAAGTCCATGTGCAAAATGAAATGTCCTGCTAGGAATGTTACAAGTTTTCTTTTCATATACTGACTGATATGTACACACACACACACAGACTTACACACATATACTTTTTCAAACTGCTTTCCTGTATTTCATGTAATTTCTTCAATTATTCTCTTCAATTTCTGTGGAATTCTTTTTTAAAAAATCTTGAGAGTAAATAGTATAGTGCCAAAAACATTCTACATAATCCAAGTGTAGGATGTTACCATTGAACAAACAAAATCTCTGTTTTCACTCCAAAAGATGAGAGAAATTTCATAAGTAAATAATGGAACTTACAGTACAAGTAATATTTTAGTATAAAAGGAGTTTATAGATTTCCATCTGAAATAGGATTTCTCGTTTAAAGAATTTAAGAGAAAATTGTATTTTAATAATTAATGAACACAGCTTATACATTTTGCTCTAACC